TTTTCATCGCGTTTCCGCAGTAATTGTTGTGTAAATGCACAATTATTTCACCTACTCAAACACTTACGTACTTTGAAACGGAGAAAAAGATGCGTACCCCATGGCATTGTTGATGACCGGATATAAACGACTGAATATCAATGAGGTAGGTAGTTACCTAGCCTTATTTGATTTATGAGCGTTTCCTGCTACAGAGTACCTACACCTCGGGGACTTTTGGAGGGTGGTGGTCCAACCTGATATTTTAAAATAATAAATATATTGATATATGCTTGAAATCAATACTATTTCAATACATTTTTTGAATTTAGTACTATTTGTATTAATTTTGTTTAATCTACTTGAATGTTTTTTGAATCATTTAAAATGTTGTATATCATCCCTGGCGTGCACATTTTTGGAAAAAGAATCATATGCAGTCTTTTAAGATGAAAATATACAGGGTGTTCTATTTAAAAAATGAGCTTAAATCCGATAACTTTTTATCTGACCCCGTATAATTAATTTGAAAAACGGTAGATTATTCAACAATCATTACAAAGAAACTTTTGTATACAATATTTGTCTTTTAACTAAGAAAATATAAGGTCATTCTGAAATTGACAATGTTTCGGTTTTCAGCCGTATCTCTTATTTACCATTTTAAGTTTTACCCAAAAGGAGCACAATTGCGCCTATATGACTTTTTTGATTAACCCTATAAATGTCGAAAATGGGACACCCTGTACATTTCTAAGTTTTCTGTGCTGAAATCTTCGCGACTCTAGCATGAGGAGTGTTCATGCAAAAGGGGACACCTCTTCTACTAATAGTAACTGCAAAAAACGAACTGCGACCGGGCAATCGATTGACAGTGTTACAATTTACCATAAAAATGGATATGTCCCTTTTTGAATGAACGCTCCTCAAATGTGCTTGTATACGGAAAAAGGACGCGTTCTAAAGCAACATTTCTAATCGGCGCTAAAATCAAAAAAATATTGAGGAAATTTTACTAACGGGCGATCAAAAATCAGTTGCTGTCGAGTCGCCTTTGGAAGTTCAAGTTTCCCATGAAAACAAAAATTCCAAGGGTGACTCGACAGCAACTCATTTTCCATCGCATAGTATAATAGTTTATGGAATCTGTTTTTCAATTGTTTCGCCTACAAGGTAGTTGTTCCGGAAGTTTCAGCGTTTTCTATTTCCTTCCGGAACGACTTTTTTTCAGGTACTTTGTAACCGCAAAAATTGCACCACATCAGTAGATCCTCGTAAAATTGGGTTCTTTTTTGTTACTCAGTCAGTAAAGTTTGTTAATTATAATCATTGCTACATACCATGGTGTATAATAAAAACACACCATAGTCAGCAAGTATTTCATTTTCGTTTCTTGGGCAGCTCAAAAATCGACGGTACTCCCCGCAGCTCACAATAAATACATGATATAGCACATTTCAGGGTACATTCAATTTGTACAAAATGTATGCGAATCCGTTACAGCTTACAGATCCTCCTTACCATGGACTAATTACAATTTTAGTTCTTACCAACGACCAAAATTTAATTGTTAAAACTGATATTTTTTATTCATATTCATGTTGTGAACAGCGTTTAATTAAAGATTATTCCATTATGACTTAACTAAAGCGGGAAATGAATACAGAAACAGGTTAATTAATTGTGCAAAAGTAAAGTACAATTAAACAAATTGCAAACCGTGAAGTGCACGTTACCAAACCTTTCGAGATCCAGTTAGAATAGGCGAATTAATTTTAATTGTAAATTTTTTAATGCAATTATGACGTCGCTAAGAAAAAAGCAATTAATAGATTAATGCATCTGTGAAGAAAGTCGAGGATTCGATAAACGGAGATATTCTTGCGGTATTTTGTTGCTGTGTACATCGGCCTCTACGGATAGGTCAATAAATACAGCGAAGCCGTTACTCTCGACCCTGGCATTGACTTTGTCTTGCAACGTCCACGAAGGCAGAGATGAAATTTGTCGCAGTAAATTTATTGGAAGACGATGTGAATTTTTAGCGGGCGCAAATTTTTTATATCGCCCCCTTACAGACAACGCCCTTTCTTTATCGGTGCATACAAATAGACACAGGTTCAAAGCGCACATGATGATAAATGAGGTGGATAACCAAACGTCCTTGAGTGATAAATGAAATTCCCAGATAAAAGAGGAACAATTTCTATTTTAATCTCCATAATAGAAATGCAACAAAGAATGTATATTTTATAGCGTCCCACAAAAACGTACCTAATAATGGTATAAATCGTGACATTATTTGTCACAAATTAACATTCTACCCCAACATGTAGGTATGAATAAGAAATAACCCCCGAACTTACCTCACCACCGGTGAACTTGCACAGTTGTTAAGGATAAAGAAATTGAATTTTTTGCACTCCTCCTCTATGAAAATCACGATCTCTTTATACTACCACTGACAGCTTCTAAGACGTCCTTTCAACACTACACGTAAACTCAACTGCCAAATGAAGTGTGTGCAACAAAACCTTTTATACCAGGGTGGGGAGCTCAAGAGAAGTTGGTTTTACAATGGAATAAGTATTCTATGCAGGGGGTAAGGATTCTTTTGCCGGTAACTAGAAGAATATTGTACAATCTCCTGTAAATTTAGGTATGTCATGGTCATCTATCAATGCACCTAAATCGCAATATAAGTCAATACCTGTATGGATCTCTTATCGACGTGACCGTTGGAAACCGTAACAAATGCAATTACCCAAAACCAATTAAACATAGTAAGTATTTGGGTGGCAATTAATTAAAGTTATCGGAACGTAACATAGCGTACCTATCACGCCAATTAAAACCAAACTCCACCAAACCGAACGGTTATGCTTATGCTACAAGTGTATGATCTTATCAAGTGATAGGTAGGTACCTAATATAATTTGCAGATTTGTAATTAAGAATATCTACGTTTATTCACTTGAACAAATTTAGGCGCGTTCTAAAATTTAAAATTTGCACAGTTTTGATTGGCTACTCATGAAGTCTTTCTTGAATTCAAATTTTTACATGCGAATAATTAAGGATTCGTACAATCAAGTACTTACGAATTTTGACCTGCCCAATAGACTATAATTGAATACGTTTAATACCGCAAGTACCACGTTCGATATTTGTGTATACCAACAACTGGTTTCCAACATGTTAGAATATTTTTTCAATTAACTGTACCTACAGTTATTTTTTCACCATATGGGCAATGTCTTCTCTATAAATACAGTAAAGTGAAGCGCACCGAACGACCATATGTCCCGTTGATATTTTCTCTGACCTATTAAATAATTTTTTGTTTGTTAATCCGGCCCGATAAGCGTAACCATTACAAAAAAGTAGCGCGCGCCTCGATTTATAAGCGCGTCTTGCGTGATTTGTTCCGCTCGCGTGAGGGTTTGAGATCTCAGCATTGAGACCTCTGCTCGAAATGGACCTGATTCGTAGATAAACAGGTCCGCTTCGTGTTGTAAACACACACATATTAAAATTTCTGTGTTTTAAAATTTAATGTTTTCCCTCGCGAATAATTCTCACTTTAAAAAATCGAGTAGCTCAAAATGGCGTAGCCAATCTACGTATATACTTAGTACCTAGACGATAATTGTTGCACCATGTGCCGTGTGTAAATTACAACTTTTTGCAAGCTAAAAATTTTACACACTCCTTTGAGGTAAATTAATCAACAGTTTGTACTATTTTCTAAAACAATGTTCACATAAATTCAAATTTTTTACAGAAGTATGTTTTTGTTTTGATTACATGCTCTTGACAAAAAGTAATATTCATATAAATTTTGATCTTTCTTTTAATACAGTGGAAATAATATATGGAAATTACCGATTCGTTTGATGTATGTACTGAATTGTTGTTTGTAAAGTAAAACAGTCACGGGGTGACAAAAGCAAATAAGTTACAACACCTAATTCCGTGATTATGTTCGACATTAAACTACAGTCTCGAAACCCCGAACGAGAGGCGAGTTACATATCATGGGAGCAAGATTCTGCTAATAAAAACTCTTCAGTTTAGAATCTATGTGAGATATATGAGTTGCGATTCACTGATTTCCACATATATGTTGTAAGATTGAATTTGCCCAACAAGGCCATGTAATTTTCCATCTTGCTCTTAACAAAAGGATTTTATTGCACCAAAGATAAGTCACATCATGTGTACTTCACACCCTTTCAGAACTTACCTACATCATTATTAAACAAACTGTTCATAATTTTAGTTTTTTTTTACGTTCCTTCCCAACCGTTGTTTACAACTAACGTAAGGGGGTCCTGCCTTAGATGTTTGATCACGTGCTAGTTTTCAAATTTAAGCAGGATCTTGTTTAGTTTTGGAAGGAAGTCATTTGGGTGGCCATTTTTAAACGTTGCCAGGTTGAGTTTATTTCAGTGTTCTTGTAGTGTGAAGTTTGCGTAGAACCTGGGGTTTAAGTGCACTACATGCTTCAGGATTGATTTTTTTTCCGTACATCTCGACACCGAGCCGCTGTAAACTTGATTTCTGTTTAATTGGGAAGTGCGAATCACCAATCTGAAACAATCTACAGTTCATACTGGGCGACGCGTTGGAAACATTTCGGCCAGTTAAACGGGAATTGTGTGAAAAACACAGCTCATGTTAATTTCTTACGAAACGTCTTGTAGATGATTCTCAGTTGGAATTAGTGAATTTGAGTTATAATGTTGGTAACATGTTTTGGTGTTGTCAGTATTGTTGCGGTGATGCAACTTCACGATCATTGTGATAGTGGTGTTGGATTTTGTAAACGCCATTGTTATTAAAACATATTGATCGTAAGCGTAATTTGAAGGATTAATTTCTCAATAGAAATTATTAATCATGACGGCACACGATCAAATGCGTGCAATGTTAGACCAGCTAATGGGAACTGGACGCAACGGTAAACTTTTAAAGCACCTCGACATGTCCTTCATTTTAATTCTGAAAAATATTTTCAGGCGAAACAAACAAGTTCCATGTAAGATTTAATGACCCTAAGGTGTGCAAATCGTTTTTGTTAAGCTGTTGCCCGCATGAAATTTTGTCATCAACGGTAAGACCTCAATTTATCTCTTATACTTAGATCCTTTTCCTGATTATCATTCATACAGTTGAAAACGAAGAGATCAAAAACACAAATATAAAAATAAAAATCTATGAACTAATTATCCAACTGTATTTTCAGAAACATCTCAGTTTTCTATTATTACATGAAGATAGGTGTTAGATTTTGTAAGTACAATTACGTACGTATGCAAAAGTATTTCAATAATTAGGTTATCACTTGGCTATTCAAAAATGTGTAACGTTATGACGAGTAAATAAATGGTACTGATTATTCGACGAAGGACTCTCGGCTTAATAAAATGATTATGACATTTATCAAAGTTCGCGTTAAAAGATTTCGGATCATTACCATTTTTGTTACTCTTTATATTCACAACGACTTGGAAGGTGTGGCAAACGTTTCCTTTATACTGTCCTCATAAAGGTTTGGTAAGTAATTCAATATAAACGTAGAAGGCATATTTCATTGGAACTAGGAAAATCGTGCATCTAAAATATCACTTTGTGAGTATACTGGGTTAACATTATTTATCACATTTAGATCAGGTTCCACAAAGAGAAGGCTGTCGGGATATAATTTTACGGTCTATAATCTACACATCAAGTTCTCTCTCATTCGAAGCGATTTATTCCTTAGTGTAATACTGTTTGGATATTATAACATCATACATGTAAATAAAAATGGTGATTGAAACAAATAATAATCAGAGTGTGCAAGAGAAAATTTTGTTTTTCATGGCATGCTTAAAAATGTTTTTTTGATTTTGTTTGCAAAAAAATGCCAATGCTAAGCATCACAGATTTCTAATGAAGGTCTTATTGCATTTTCTGACACAGAGGTTAGAGGCTAAGTTGTGTTGTTTATAGATCTTTCGTAATTGTAATTCAAGTTTTGAGAAAAATTGCTGTTTTTGTGGAATCTGAAAATATGCAAAATCATAATCGTAAGGAGTTTTATCAATACACTTTCATGAATGGTGTGTTCACAATGACAAATTATTTGTTACCTGTTGTATCTTCCCTGTTAAAAATTAAAAAATCCACGAAGACAAGATGTTTCTCATCATTATTGGCGGCGTACACAATCAGATTTTTGAGGAAATGAACTTAAATACTTGTAAGTTTATTGTTTATATTTTATTACTTTCTTATTTTCATTTGTTAAACTGCCGCATATCGAGTAGTGCCTATATACCTTCAGTTTTATTTTTCATGTACGTGTTTAAAAAGAGCATGATCGTAATGGAAAATTTGTTTCTTTGAGTTTTTGTTTTAAGAAATGGTGTTATGTAAAATCAGAGTAAGTATGTTTGGAGAAAACTTCAAGGCCGTAATAAAAACAGTAGGGTACAATAAATCCATGACTACCTATAAATAAAATTGAACTGCGTGACCATCTTCAAGTGGTGGAAACATGTTTACGATCAATAGAAAAGTTGAATGCTTATAGACGTAATGCATGATTGCGAATTATTTTTTTATCTTGAATCGATGGACAACGGTGAAATAATGTACAATCTGTGAACCCCAAAATTCTTTGTAGCGATTAAGTATGCATTGGTCACATTATTATGTAACCAAATCATTTCTTGGTGTTTGTTATGTTAACAGCGGATGGATCTAGGGGAATGTCCCAAAATTCATGACTTGGCTTTGAGAGCAGATTTTGAAAAAGCACAGTCTCATAAGGATTATTTTTACGATCTTGACGTAAGTATATTAAAAGTTGCTCTGTGCGCGTCTGTACAGTAGGTGTTTAAGGCGATGGAGCATCTTCAAGCGTTTATCAGCGATTGTGACCGACGCACCGAAGCCGCCAAGCAAAGACTCGCAGAAACACAGGAGGAACTGTCAGCGGAAGTTGCCGTCAAGGCCAACAATGTGCACGAACTCGCCGAACAGATTGGTCAGAAACTTGCTAAAGCCGAACAGCTGGGAGAGGAGGGATTTGTCGAAGAAAGTATGAAGCTCATGGAAGAAGTAAGATTTCTCCGTCACTTTTTATTAATAATAATAATAATGTTTGTTTTACTTTGTTACGGTACACGATGTACAGGATGGCCAAATAGGAATGCGAGGTACTGTATCTGGGAACCTGTCCATCGTAGAGGCTTGCGGTAAAAAAATTTATTACTAAAACGGCCACGAAAAAAACCTGGAAAATATTTTTAAGTGTCTGCAATGGCCGCTAGGGGGCGTAAGTGCAATCTGGAATCTAAAAAAGTGATTTTTCTGTGAATTCCGTCATATTAACCTAACAAAAAAATTTCCGGTCTTTGATGCTGACGATAATCTGAACCTTTTTTGTTTGACAATTTTTCCTGTATCTCTAAAAATGAAGTGGTGGGGGGTATTCAAAGGTTTCCGTAAAGAACACCCTGTGTCTTCGAAACGACTGAGCCGATTGTAACAAACTCGGGTTAATTGAAAAGAGTTATTCTTCAGCTACAAATATTATACTATTTGAAGTTTTGTTCGTTTCACATATCGCCGCTTGAGGGCTTTTTTCGACATTCGACAGAAATGGTTCATTTTCTCAAAAAAATTAAATGCGCGGATTTGATTTTTTTTTCATGAAAAAGTAGCTAAATGATGGCTAAACAAGCTCGCGAAAAGTGCGTCTCGATATCTTGTTCCTAACCTAAAATTTAGGCCAAAGAAAATTTTATACCCTCAAAATTTTATTTTTTTAAGCTAATTATTTTTCTTATATAATTTGTTGCCCTAAGGTGGATCGATTTAAAAAAGGAAGCTTTTAATACCGCCGTAAATGCTCGAAATGCTGGCCATCACGATATAAAAATATATATATATATATCTCAAGATATCGAGATGCTGTTTTTGCGAACTTGTTTAGGCATCATTTAGCTTCTTTTTCATGAAAAAAAATCGAACCAATGCATTTAATTTTTTTGAGAAAATGAACCATTTCTGTCAGAATGTCGAAAAAAGCCCTCAAGCGGCGATATGTGAAACTAACAAAACTTCAAATAGTATAATATTTGTAGCTGAAGAATAGCTCTTTTGAACCAACCCGAGTTTGTTTAAATCGGATCAGCCATTTCGAAGATACAGGGTGTTCTTTACGGCAACCTTTGAATACCCCCCACCACTTCATTTTTAGAGATACAGGAAAAATTGTCAAACAAAAATTGTTCAGATTATCGTCAACTTCAAAGACCGGAAATTTTTTTGTTAGGTTAATATAGCGGAATTCATAGAAACATCACTTTTTTAGATTCCAGATTGCAGTTACGCCCCCTAGCGGCCATTTCAGAAACTTAAAAATATTTTCCAGGTTTTGCTAGTGGCCGTTTTAGTAATAAATTTTTTTACCGCAAGCCTGTACGATGGACATGTTCCCAGATACAGTACCTCGCATTTTTAGTTGGCCACTCTGTACAACAATAGTAGGCAGTAATTGTCATGCATAAAAACAATAATAAACACAAAAGTACATAATAAAAACCATGATGATGTGTTTTGGGTTGACTTATATAACTCAATGCTCAAAATATTCTTTTAGGTTGTAAGAATGTTAAACGCTAATATTGTATTGTTGATTAGGTTGACGAATTTAGAAAGAAAAAATTGGAGGCCGAACAAGAATATCGAAACTCCATGCCCGCGAGCAGCTACCAACAGCAAAAGCTTAGAGTTTGTGAAGTATGCTCCGCCTACTTGGGCATTCATGATAACGACCGGCGTCTCGCGGATCATTTTGGCGGAAAATTGCATCTTGGTTTTATTAAAATCAGGGAGAAGCTGATAGAATTGGAGGTATTTAGCCTAAGCGCATCAATTGTTTTTTATAGTTTGCTGCTCTAGGCTACGGCAGAAAAGCGAAAGGAAGAGAAGCGGAAGTCGATGAGGGACCGAGATCGCGATTTTGAAAGGGAAGAAAGATATCGTGAGCGGCACAGGGAACAGTACGTCGGCGGTCGTGAACTGGATCGGCGCTCTAAGAGGCATCGTTCCAAGTCTCGCGAAAGGAATCGTCATACTGAAAAAGACAAGGATCGCGATAATAGGTCGGTATTGCGATGTCGTCGTCTAAATAATTGATGATTTGTTGCAGAAGTCGCCCTTACAGATCTAGATCCAGAAGTCGAGATCGCAATCGTCGCTCACATTCGCGTCACTCCAACTCGAGTGATAAGAAACGTGACAGGGATTAAGGGAGTGGTTCAGATGCTGTAAGTTATTCTAATTATTAATTGCACCATTTGGGTTGCTTTGAAGTTGTAAATCGTAATATTATAAATAATCAATTATGTGAATTCAATTGACTTGCAAGTTTCTGAAATATTTAGTTCTTAAAGATTTGTTTTTTTTTAAAAACTTGAATAAATATATAATTGAACAAATTTTATTTTGTAATAAGAGGTAATACACAAAAGTATCCCTTGGTCATACGTTGGAGAAGTGATATATGTTTATCAAATGTTAGATGTATTTAAATAGGTATTTTTTGTATGAAAATATTTATTATTTAAATGCATTTTCAATATTTTCGAGGTAGTTAAGTATGTTACCTTTCATAATGTATTTAATTTACACTTCACGATGAATCAAAAGGTTTTGTGAAGGAACCACATATTGTAAATTATATCTATACTGCATTCATTATAAGAAGGTAGTAGATGGCGCTGTGTTTGAAGATCGACACACACAGGAAAAATATAAAACGGCACCAAATTATTGTAAAATAGAAATATTCAGCAGTGCGAACAAAAATAAATCTTTCACAAAAACAACTTATGACGCTTCGGCAGTTTACTTGGCAACATAAAGTACCTTGCAAAATTCACCAGTCGTTTTATGTTTCATTGTAATACTGACTCGTGTTTTAACTAATCACAGTGAAGGTCAAAGCTTCCCTATGCTTTTTACCGCTACCTTCTTAAAATGAATACAGTATAGTACAACAACTTTTCTTTTATAAATAATAACACTGCATATACTTGATGACAATCCATTTCTTTTGTTGAGACATTCCATTAGTGTAGAAACCCGCCCATGGAGGGTCCCGCACAATTCTCTAAAGTGTTCTAGAACTGCAGAAGTGGGTCAGGTGAGATCGAACAGAAAAAAAACCAGCATTTTTTACTAACGGGCCGCAGTTTCTGTTTCTCCTTTAAGTATTTCTTAATTTTTCACATATAAATATTTTTGTTATTTCAATATCACAACAGTAGTTGCTCTTATTCATAAGATTTCTAGAGGTTTTGGAGACCTGGCAATAGGTATAGGTCTAATAAACCCCTTACATAGTGACTTATCTAAAATGGTTTTGTGATTTTCACAAGCAATGGATGGGTTTGGCGACTAGTGAAGTATTTTTGAATTACTGTAGCTAATAAAGACACCACAATTAAGTAAACGCGTGTTACGTACTTACTCAACCAAATTTAGGAATTAAAAAGAACAGAAAATAAAAGGTAAGGATTACATATTCGGTCAGCGGAAGGTTACAAGAAACAACTGTCAACAATGCATGGCACTCTAAGCGACAGCGTCATTAATAGCAGGCAGTTTAAAATTCAACATATGGATGGTCCACCCTTTATTTCTGATGCCCGAAATGAATGTAGATTTGAATTTTATGGCCACGTTTATTAACATTCTGTATATTTGGTTATTGGCATTTTTGAAAAGAAATCTTATTTTTCATTAGGTGTAGGTAGTAGGCTTTGGAATCGTTTTATTTGGAATGTCAAATATCAAACAGTCAGTGTTGTGACATATCTAGATACCTACTTGTAGTTAGATACCGTAACTAGATACTTTGGAAAAAAATGTAACGATATCTAACTATAAGGCAGAACGCTCATCGAGGTGACGTGACATATGACAAGTGATCTGATAGTGATAACTTTTAATGTTCGATTGGTGAGCGCATATATATACCAATATATTTATATTAGTTCCATATTTTGTGACGTTTCACTTGTCACGTTGAGCGTCATGTCACCTTGGTGAGCGTTCCACCGAAAAGGCCCTGGAATTGAGTTTAAACAAAATTTATATCTGACAGTTTATTGTTTAAAATGCTGATAATTATTTTGAAACGGGGATACCATTCTTTTAAGTTTATGATCAGATATACCAAATCGTATAGATACCTCATTCACAAAGAATATTCAGAATAAACTGAGATATGCTAGAAAAACCGAAATTTGCCGATTTTGTTTTTACTTTTTTGTGATGTTATTTGAATACATACAAAAAAATAAAAAAATGACTTTCTCATTGCCACTTTTTGAGATCTACAAGCTACAGTTGGGAGATTCAGTAGCATCTTTTAATTACGAATACGATGTACCGCACACAAAAAAAAGTTGGAATTTGGAAACTGTTGGTTTCAACAGGATGGTGCACCCGCGCACAAACCCAAATCGTGCGAGAATACCTATTGACCAAATTTCTCCGATAAGGGCGTTGTGAGCGGGTGCACCATCATGTTGAAACCAAACATTAGTAATAAAAAATGCTACTCCATACCGTGTGTACCTTTTCTACGGGCCATATAAAACAGGTATAAATTGTGCACAACTCTTGTGCAGACAACGCGCACTTTTTTAACCGAAATAGCTTTTGTTTTGACATCACCAATGGGTACATTTCTTGCAGTCTCAATCGCGTTTGTGAGTACCCTCTTCCGACAATCCGTTATTGTTGGGGTATAAGGGAATATACCCGATCACGATAAGAGGTTGAGGAGGAGGGCTATGGTTGGTAGAAATTAATTCCTTTCGTTGAGACCTTTCATTAGAGTACCATAAAGGATAAAACTAGTTCCACTTCCCCCTCCACCCCGTACTTTGATAAGAGGACAGAAAGAAGGACAGTAGTGGTAGAAAACGGTTCCTTCCGTTGAGCTTTAATTAGAATACAATGAGATAAAATTAAGATTTAACCCCCCCAGGCCCCGTCGCTCACTCGTTTCCCCTTAAATTCCTCTCCCCCTCCGATTTCTAAAGTTTAACTTGGCACCACTAAAGGCATTCGTATGCAAAATCTGAGACCAATTGGTTGTCTATAATAATAATAATAATAATTGTATTTATTATTCAACAGAAAATATTTCCAGTAACAGAACAATATAAAAATTTAGTATAAACTGCAGTGTAAGAAATATCAAAATATCACACAAGAGAAAAAAATAAAAATAAAATAATAGTATAAAACATTATAGAAAAAAAAGAGTGAAGAGACAGAGTATGTTAATTAAATTAATAATTTGCAGATGCCATGAGCGGAAGAAAACCTAGAAATCAAGGGAAATGAGTAAGTGATTGGAATAATAATAATAATAATAATAATGTCTTTTATTAATTACACATCTTGCAACAAAATTTATAACAGAAAAAAAAATTATATTTATCGTGTAACTAATTGGGCGAAGTTCAGATGACAGTATTGAAACCCACTGCCTCTGCTCTTCCATTTAACCCAGTATATTACTTACATTATAAAGGGGATGAAACATGGCTTCTAATTATAAATAATAAAAAAAAATAAAATTAATGAATTATTTACCCACAAGTAAAACTTAGTATAGTAGGAAGCGGGCTTGAGTTGATATCGCAGCGGTGACAGATGTCCATGTAAAAGTTATGCACGTTTTACTTTCAAAAACAGCATCTCGGGGGAATAATTCGTGGGGGAGTCCCCCTTTTAGACAGCGAAATTTGATGGCCGTGTGACATACCTTCAAGGTATAGAGCTACCTACTGCAAGAAATTCCAGGACTCTAAGACCATTCCCCTAGAAGTAGTTCGAAACGGCAGAAGTGGGTCCGGACGGACGGACAAAACGCAAACAATAGCACATTTTTTTTAATTCTTCAAAAATGCGTGGAAGATGATTTGATAACCGAAACGTAACGTTGTATTGAAAATTCCTCAACAGTGTCTTGTAGATAACGTTAACGGCAAAAAATCGAGACGAAATCGGCAATTTCCGGTTTTTCTGGCATATCTTCGGCATTCATCGGAATTTTCTAGTTTTGATTAAAGCATGATAACAACTCTTTAATTACGCATCTTTTCTCTAATTTGTCGCGTCGCGTAGTATGCTTTCGGAGACCCCAGGTATACAGGGTGTTCCTTAAACACATGCTAATATTTAAGGGGGCGATTCTTGGACCTATTTTTAGAAAAAAAACTTCCTATGAACGTATGTTCTAAACGTTTTAATTTTTTAGATAGGTACATGATGGTAAAATTTTAAAAAAATCAGTTTTTTAATAATAAAGATTTTCATTTTTCATTTTCTCTACCAACGGCGTCCGTACGGCTTTTGCATTGAATATTTTTGGAGAAAAAAATACTATGCCACTGCTTTCTCTTAAAATAAAATTAATTTTTTTAAATCCTCATTCAAATTTGATCTTCTGGCTTTGTCCAACGCATGGTTTTCGCTTGAAAAATAATCGTTTTACTTCAGGATCGATTTCCTAAAAATAAGGGAAAACCATGTGTCGGACACGCAAAAACCAGATCAAATTTGCTAAAAAATGAATGAGGATTTAAGAAATAAATTTTATTTTAAAAGAAAGCAGTGGCGTAGTATTTTTTTCTCCAAAAATATTCAATGCAAAACCCGTACGGGCGCCACTGGTAAAGAAAATAATTTGCAGATCAGAAAATGTATCTTGATGCATAGAAGACATGTACCAAATTTCATAAAGATGTCTACAATATATTAATTCTGTTATTATTAAAAAAACTGTTTTTTTTTAAACTTTACCACCCAGTATATCAAAAATTAAAACGTTCATAGGAAGTTTTTGTCTTAAAATGGGTCCAAGAATCACGCTCTTTAAGCAACACCCTGTATTTATCATGTTCTAAAAATATTCAAAATAAATGGAGAATAGTCTTCTCAGAATATCTGAGATATTATCCCCATTCCCATATCCCTATAGTATATCCAAAGAGTACATGTTCAAATATATCTTTTCGAATATTCCAGAAATATGCAATGTTATCTGGAGTTGCCAACTGCGGGCCTTTCTTTCGAGGAACAAACTCCTTAATAGAGGATCTTCCTGAAGTTCAAAAACTCGGTAAGATCCTTTTGAAAGACCCAGAGCAAAAAGTGGGAACACTACCGAGACTGTAAGGATACATTGAGCGAATAAGCAAAAAGGACATTGCATGTCTGTGGAAGTAGAAGGGCTTTTGTGTACATGGGGTTTGATAATACTGTACTGTGCACTAATTATTTATTGTAACTCTCTTGTTCTGGGCCTTTAACAGGCTTTTGCCCAATATGGCGGCCTGCCATGCCAGGAAGCAGCTAGGTAAAGTACAGAGACATCTGTCTGGGAGTCACTGGAGCCATGAAATCCACGCCAACTTTGACCATGAAGGTAGTTCTGGGACTAGAGCCTTTTTACACTTAGCTGTGGATGTAGAGGCTTCGGTATGGCTCAACGAGCTTATGTGGGTTACAGGTCCCTAATGAAAAAATCCCGTTCGGCTCAGTCAATCAGGTGCAGGTAGATTTCTATAATTGTCCGCCATTTTGTTCCAATATGGCGGAATTGGCTGATTTATGAGTTACACGAAACCTTAAAGTTTGGTCGAAATCGGTTTATAATTAAGAAAGTTAGAGTGTTTCTTGGAAGTGATATATACCTACAAACATATTTATATACTGGTACCATTACAATAGGTAGACGAAATCTACCTAAAGGGAACAGGCATGGACACATATGGTGATCGACCGAGAGTTGACATCAGCTTCTCCTCCAGGCTCCCCTAATAGAATAGACAGGCATCGATAAAGAATACTGGCGAACAAATTCATTTATTGCACAAAATAAAACGTCAACTAGATATTTTTATAACAAATACATACTCATTTGTAATTAATAACGCAATGGACTTTAATCGGGAGAATGAGGAACTTCTGTACTAAAATATGGAGCCGATGATTTAACTAGCAGTGTATGACACACATCACAAACTTTCGACGGTCTTTGATTAGGACCACTACAAACAGTATGATTTAAACAAGGTAAACAAAATATCTGCCCGCAATGTCTGCAATGCTGTTTTTTTCGTTTAGTCACATTAAACATTGATCGACAAGACGGACAGTCCTCCACATCTTCCTCGTGCTGCCACCGAACTTGGGTGTCCGCATCTCGAATCTTCTCTAACTGAACCTGTTAACACGCACAGTAAAAAATTATAACAAAAAAAGTCGCAATTAACCTGGAGGCTTTGAGAGAGACGAACGAAATCCTTTTGCACAGTTTCACTGTTGTCCAATTCCTGCTGCAACGATGCAACTCTCGATTTTAGTTCGTTGTTCTGATCTTCCAATAGATTCTTAACATATAAACAACCAAATCATAATTCAATTTCATTAACATACACGTTACCTTTTCGCCGGATAGTTCATCAATTTGTGCCAGAGTTGCTTGATGAATTTTGTCTAGTGATTTTAATTTATCCTGTGTGGACAGTAACCTCTGCTTTTCCGCTTCCAATTGCTCAGTTTGGTCTCTAAAATGTTTGCTACACTACACGAATTCGTTTCTAACATCACCTACTTTAACATGGTAATTTCATCTTTCAAAAGTAAATTATCAGATCTCAAAATGTCGACTTCCTCCTCGACAACTTCTTTTGCAATTTTTGCGATGATTAACTCTTGATGCCCTCTGAGAATCAGTTCTTGTAAATCCTACGTACAAATGAAAACTTATTGGGACGCAATATCCAGGTCTTACCTCTACAACATTGGGCAAATTAATCGCTTCGCTTTGTAATTGTTGGGAGTGAACGCTGTACTTTCCCACAAGATCCTCATTTTCCCTTTGTAATCTGCATAAGTTAACGTAATTTAAAAAAATCAATCAACGAAAACAGCTGAAACTATGAGATTTTTCTTACTTTTCTAGTTCATGCTGAACTTTTTCCCTCTCGTTAGTAATCACTGTTAATTGTTGTCTAACCTCGACCATAGTGTGTTTAAACACATCTTGCAGTTCCTTTAGATCCTGTTCGGCACAATCAGTTCTGGTAGTTAACTCTGCGACTTGAAGTTTATGTTGTTCTTTTTTTTCGTTCCATTTCTCCTCAATTTCCTCTCGAAAACCTATCTCTTTTAATAGCTCCTCCCGATGCCTGTCCACCGCCTTTTCGGCCCTTAGCAATTTAAGCTTTATGTCTTCGGTATGCTTTTGTTCTTTAACTAGTTCGGTTTCGTAATTACTGCACATGTCGCATTGCGCGATGGCTGTGTGACGCCCCTCAAACGAGGTGTTTGTGGCAGTTGCGTGTAAACTGGGATTTGCGGAGGTCTAGTGTAAAATCATTATGGGAAATAGTTAGTTGTTTTTCAAACAATATTACCTCAACTCCGGTATGTTTACATTGACATTTTTGAAGTAGATCGTCCGCACTGCGCAGCTTATCTTTGAGGGCTTTAATTTCTTCTTCCAAAGGAACAAGAAGAGATCGCAATACTTCGACATCTTCCTGTGCCTAATAGCAAACACATTAGACAGACATTAAACATCTACTATAGTCACGTGTAATATTAAGAAATAAGTCATCAAATTAATGTCATATTATTTACTCGTTGTGATATAGGGAGGGGTTTCAGCATGTCGAATGTAACATATATCTCTGCTACTGAATTGGGTTCCTGTAAACATAGCTAATAGTCAGAGGGACAAAAGTGAGAAGCTAAGAACATAAGCGGTTCCACTTTTGTGTATAAACAGTTACGCTTAGTCCGTCTGGTAAACTGTTTTTCAAATATACAGGGTGAACATTTTTGTATTTTTCCTAAATCACAATCTCCGTTTTGAACACTGGGAAATCAGACCTAGTGCTTTAAAGGTTCAATCTTCTTAGGTCGCTTTCTGTAAATGCAAAGCTTTCCCAAACAAGTGTAATTTAAGGTACTTATGCTACCAAATCTATTCCATTTTTTTTAATCGCAGCATTGTTTGAAATTTTGAAGAATGTACAAATTTAAGACTTTGTTCATAAGATTCCTCTTATTCATACATCGCCAACAGCATTTCATATTCTTTGCAATAGGCTTTACTGTATTTTGTAAATAGCACCTTTTCTTCTGCTTTGCAACAAACCATTTTTTTTCTGAAGACAATGATTTTAATAAAGCTGAAGTGACAT